TTTGACTATTCCACTCCCTTTCTTCACCAAATATTTGTTTAAATAAATAAAAACCTTCTGGTTGTCAGTATTTGCCAAGTTGTGGTAGTTGGGTGGGGGAGACAAGGGCCAGGGCTGACGAGACGAGGTACAACATCAATGTTTACATGTCATTTAAAATACGGTCTGTGCCTGTGTCAGGAGTCTGTACAAATCTCTGAATCAATTTTGTTGATTCGGGCACTTTTTGGAGGATAACCAACATATCTTGAAATATGGGGCTAGGAAGCAATTTCACTGGGGTTCATTTTTCAGCGATAGGTTCCACCTTATCTCTAGTGCCTCCGTTCCGAAAATCATAAGCATATGTCCTGCTGCTGTTGAGAATAAATTTGTCGAGACAACAAGCTGGCATAGACAAGGACAGTGTGCAAAACAGGAAACCATTGCAAATGCTTCCATACTCCTCCAGGAGACAAATTACTTTACATTTTTCACGAGGAAAAACTATAGAAGTTAGTATTTTATTTCCTAGACCTATAAAAGCCTAACTGGTGCCCATATGTCATACTGTAAGATTTCTTCCAGCCCTTTTAAGTGTGATGCAAGATTAGGATAGGGGAAAAAAGAATAATTGAGCTCTCCTGTGGGTGAGATGACTCCATATGAAAATATACAGACTCCATTTCTAAACCGTTTGGGTATCACGTTGACTTTTTCTTGATTCTCTTTCAGTCCTCTCTCATCCTCACAACCAAAACCCCACCAAGCCTTTGCACCCTCCTCCACAATATAAAAGCCACAAATCACGTTTTTGTGAGCCTTAAGATTATTCTAGAACCCTTGGTTAGTTTTGTAACATCCCAGAAGAAGGTACACATAAGCTTTTTAAGAGGACAAAAGAAATAAGAAATTCATTATTATTGAATACAAAGAACTTTTCTGGGGAAGTGCAATGGACAGAATGTGTGTGTGTCTTCCCCTCAGACTCTTATGTTGAAATCTGCACCTCCACAGTGGTAGTATTAGGGGATGGGGCTTTTCTTAGATGAAGGTGGAAAGCCTTCTCCATGAAGGTGGAACCTTGATGAATGGAATTAGTCCCTTATAAAAGAGGTCTTAGAGAGCTAGCCAGCCCCTTCTGCCATGTTAAGGGCACAGCTAGAAGGCGGCATCTATGAACCAGGAAGTCGGTTCTCACCAGACACTGAAATTGCTGGTAACCTGATCTTGGACATCCAGTCTCCAGAGCCATGAAAAATAAATTTCTATTGTTTAGTAGCCGCCAGTCTATGGTATTTTGTAATAGAAGCTCAAATGGACTAAGATAGAGGGGAGGGATTTTTGTCAATTTTCTTCACTCTACATCTCCAACATCTAAGAAAAAGCCAGGCACATTCTTGGTGCTCAATAAATATTTGTTGAATTAATAAATAAATAAATTATAGTGGACATTCGTACTTGTTGCCTGTCTGCATTCATTCCTTTCTTTCTGCTAAGAGCACCCTAAGCCTTATTTGGGGAACCTCTCTTTTCCCACCCTTAATGCACATGGCTCAGGTACAACTGATCCACCCCAGCTGCAAGGCAGAGCGCATGTCCCAGGTCTGAGCCACGGGCCACTGTGATTGGTTAAGAGATGGTACATGATTCAGTGAAAGTCCAATGAGGGCCAATCTCCAGTTCTGATGGGAACTCTGGGGATATGGAGTTATTTCCCACTGGAACTGCTATCTCTAAGGACAGTATAAGCCAGGAGCTTTTAGGGTTCACCTCATAGAGAGATTCTTTCTAGGAGTCAACACAGTACAGAAAAAAGCAAAGCCAGAGATGGAGATAAAGTGAGAGTTCTATGTATGTTGTTTAACCCTTGCATTTAACTGTATCTGGGACCCAAAATCCTTTGGAGTTTTTAAGTTATATGACCCAATAAACCCCCTAAAGCCAAATGAGTTTCTGAAAATCTAATGTTTAAAAAAAATAATAAAATTAACAAATGAATTAGGGAAATGTCAATGATTTTACCATCCTGGTAACTACAGTTTCTCTTAACGTGTGTTAGTACTTGACTAATACTAATCAAGAATAAGACTGCTGTTTCAAAGAGACCCCAAAATACCACAACTTAAAGAAGATGGACATCTTTCCCCCATGCAGAAATCTGGGAGGCAATACAGGGCTTTAATTGTGGCTTAACTAGGACTTGATCTTGTTACTTTGTCATCCTCAAAATGCAGCTTCTCTTTCATGACCCAAGAGTGCAGTTCAAGTTTCTGCTATCAGGTGTCTTCTTGCCAGCTGTAAGGGAAAGGGGAGGAAGAGGAAGATGTGTACAGATAAAGGCATCATCAACTTGGAGAAAGGTGCAAGTGGGTGGACCAGAAGAGAAATAAAAAATAATCCTTCTTTCCTCTCTCTCGTTTTCTTTCTCCAAGCATTTATTGAGCACTCACTATATACCAGGTTCTATGATGAGTGCTGGGAATATAACGTAAAATAAGGCTGACTCAGTCCATACCTTACTGGAGCTTATACTTCTGAGTAAGTGTATTAGTCTGTTTTCACACTGCTGGTAAAGACATACCTGAGACTGGGTAATTTATAAAGAAAAAGAGGTTTAATGGACTCAAAGTTCCACCTGGTGGGGGAGGCCTCACAATCATCGCGGAAGATGATAGGCACAACTTACATCACAGTAGGCAAGAGAAAGAATGAGAACCAAGCGAAAGGGGTTTCCCCTCATAAAACCATCAGATCTTGTGAGACTTATTGATGACCATGAGAACAGTATGAGGAAAACCGCCCTCATGATTCAATTATCTCCCACTGGGTCCCTCCCACAACACATGGGAATTATGGGAACTACAATTCAAGATGAGATTTGGATGAGGACACAGCCAAACCATATCAGTAAGTTATTTTAAAATGTCAGAGGTCCGATTTTAGATGGTGGCAGCTTCTGGGGAAAGATATGGGCTTTTCTCTTTTATAAGATTTAGAAAACTCAGTCACCCCCAACTACTAAGACCTAGTGGCTTTCAATCTTCTGTCCCAGTGGCTACCAAAACAGCAAAAGATCTGCTACCTCCATTTCCATTTTGTGTTGTACAGTCCCACGCATACACAGTTATGCACCATATAACAACATTCCAGTCAACACTCAACCACATACATAACAATGGCCCCATAAGATTATAATACTGTATTTTTACTGTATTTGTTTAATGTTTAGACACACAAACACCATTGTGTTACAATGATCACAATATTCAGTACAGTTACATGCTGCACAGATTTGTAACCTAAGAGAATTAGGTTAGGATGAGAATTACAACCAGCTAGGATGTGTGGGTTCACTCTGTGATGTTTACACAGCAACAAAATCATATAACAACACATTTCTCAGAACATATTCCCATCACGAAGTAATGCATGACTATATTAATTTTCTCTGTCATGTGTATGTGATAAATCTTTTATATTTAACTATGCTATTAAAAGCTGTCTCTTTTCAAAGGAATTTCAGAAAATTGCAGGATGCAAGAGATTTTTTTTTGTCTACAAAATGGAGCTAATGAAGCTTCCTACTGCATAATATGTTGTGAAAATTAAATGAGATTATATATGTAAACTTCTAAGCATAGTAAATATGTTGACTCTTTCTAAAATCATTTTTATTATATTTTCTGATCAGAGATCATTATTTCTCTCTCCCTAATTCTATTTAGGGCACCTGGAAGAGAAGGTGTCTGGATTTTTTTCCAATGAGTACATATTACTTTTATGTTTAACAATTTAATATGCAAGAATAATAACTTTTTGTGTTTTAAAAAAGGAAACAGCTCATTATAAAGTAAGCAATGAAGAAAAGTAAAAAGAATTTTTAGTAATAACCCCAAATGATTAGTATAGATGAATATTTGACATCTTTCTAAGTAGATATATAGATTACAATGTTTTCAGTTTCAAAAATATATGTAAAATCCAAATAGAATTGCTTTAGCACATAGAAATGTGTTGATTTTTTGTAATTGACATCCAGAGACAGAGTGATCTTCAGGGTTGGCCTCATCCAGCTTCTAGTCGTTGTGTATGGGGCAAAAGTCTTCACTTGCAAAATGTCTGTAGCAGCTCCATGTTTTGCACCTTTAAACAGACAAGTCCAGAGGGAGAGAGGGAGTTTCCTATGGTGAGCTTCTCTTAAAAGCTTGGAAGCTCCTTCTTCAGAAGTCTCCACCAATCCTTCCTTCATGTTTCACTAACCTGAGCTGGGTCACAAGCCCATTCCAGATTCTACTGCAGGAATATGCCACACCCTGGTTGGTTTCGACCTGAGTTCCCTGGGATAAGGGATTATCTTCAGCCCAATCATTCCACCCTGGCCCTGGAGCTGGGTTCACAGTCCCCTGAAGTACTTAGGTTGCCTCTCAGAGAGATGGAAATCTGTATGAAAATCCAGTTACTATTTAGAAAGGTGAGGAGAGGAAAGGGAAATGTATACTGCATTAGTCCATTCTCACCCTGCTGTGAAGAAATACCCAAGACTGGGTAATTTATAAAGAAAAGAAGTTTAATTAACTCACAGTTCTGCATGACTGGGGAGGCCTCAGAAAACTTCCAATCATAGCGGAAGGCACCTCTTCACAGGGCAACGGGAAAGAGAATGAGTGTCAAGTGAAGGGCGAAGCCCCTTATAAAACCATCAGATATTTTGAGAACTCACTCACTATCATGGGAATAGCATGGGGGAAATCACCCCCGTGATTCAAGTATCTCCACCTGATCCCTCCCTTGACATATGGAGATTTTAAAATTCAAGGTGGGATTTGGGTGGGGACACAGAACCAAGCCATGTCATATGCTAAAGAGAGATTGAAAGAGAAACAGACATAGATAGGCAAAAATATTTTTACACAAATATGAGCATATTATGCACACTGTTCAAAAAACTAATGGATTTAACGTTACTTGAATTGAACATTAGAAAAGTAAAACTAACATAAAACAGAAAAATTGCTGCCCTTTCGTTAAATATCCTTTACCACAGGAGATACTATTTGCTAAAAATTCCTTCTTGGGGAAATAAGGTTAAGAAAAGATACTATGAAAAATGTTAAAAGGTTGGAGTCTTTTTTTTTAGCAACATGTTTCAGTTTTAGACAATATCGAATGACTCACACATCGGAAAGATGAGTAAATCTTTAGACTTGTACTTCCTCCCATCTCCCCACCCCTCACTTCCCAATTTTGGCTCTAATATTACTTTTACGTTATCATTGTTTATAATATTCACATTCTGTTGTGGAAACATTAATCTCATAATTGTTTAATACCATCAGTTCCATGTTCAAATGAATTATGTGTTCCTAATAAGTCTTTTTTATCCCAGACTCTATATTTCCAAATATTTTATTTCTATTTATCTCTAAATCGACTGTTTCATCACTGAACAATTCCTCTCAAGCAGGACTCATGAGTGTGTGTTCCCTGAGTGCTGCTGTGGGCCAGAATATTTATCTGTGACTTTTCTACTTAAACTCATTCTGGATGGGTGAAATATTTTTGAGTCACACTTTCCCTTGGAAATCCTAGGTGGTGCTTTATTATATCTTGGCATGCAATATTGATTATTAGTGTCAAAGGCAACCCTAACTGGCTTCCTTTACTTTTTATGTCCTATGCCAAAATACTTTTTTTAAAAAAGTCCTTGAAGTTTGATAAGTTAATGGGGATATGTCTCAGTGCGGATCATTTAGTATTTGTTTTTCTTGGGTCATGGTGTGCTCTTTCAATCTGCAGATTCGTTTCTGCATTTGTCAGAGCAAATTTTTTTGTTTTATAGCTTTGAATATTTTATCTGTCCTATTTGGAGATTCTTTACAACCAGGCTTAACAACTAGGCTCAAATTGCTATGTGCTTTTCACTTGCAATCACTACCTTTATCTTAAGCATTTTTTCTGTCTGTAAGCTTATTTTGAGCTGTGTCTATTTAGTTTTTTTTTTTTTTTGAAGATTTTTTATCTATTTATCCATTCTATAATAATGTCATTTTGAATGAAAGCACTTGGACACAGGGGGGAACATCACACACCCGGGCCTGTCAGAGGGTAGGGGGCTGGGGGAGGGATAGCATTAGGAGAAATACCTAATGTAAATGATGAGTTGATGGGTGCAGCAAACCAACATGGCACATGTATACCTATGTATCAAACCTGCATGTTGTGCACATGCACCCTAGAATTAAAGTATAATTTTAAAAAAATAAAAATAATGTTTTGGTCTTTAATTTGTTTCTATAGGACAGCAGAAAATCACTTTTCCAGGTCATTCTCTTGTTTCATTTCCTCTTTGGGACCCACCATGTTGAATTCATATTCTTATTAACCTGTTCTCTAACCTAAAGCATTTAGGGAAAACAATATGCTCTGCTAATTGGTTTTTTTTTCTGATTTATAGCTTTTGATTCGATTTTTCAATATTTTGGTAATTTAAGGCTTCCAAAGTGAGCACAGAGTTAGAAACTACTTTTCTAAAATCTCTTTCCTTTCTTTGTCTTCCCCTTTTTGAAGTCTATGACATTAGGTTGCTGCCATTTCCTTGTGTTCTTGCTGTTGCTGTTTTTTTGTGTCTGTTTTTGTTGTTGTTGTTGTTGATTTTTATTATTTTTATTCATATTTTAGATGTTGGAGAAGGATAGTCTCTATTTTGCCTCTATTCTGCCATCCTTCTTCAGAAGTCTATATTGTTTATATTTATTTTCATTTGTTTAAGCCAGGAAAAAGTGACCTCCATTTTTTAAAAAAAGAATCAATGAGATCATGTATGTAAAGTTCATTAAAAACTTTAAAATACTATGCAAACATTATTTTTAAAAGATAAAATCATAGAATTTTTAAGATTGGACTAAACCTAGGGACTTGTGTTTTAACCCCATACTCAACTCAGAAATCCACTGCAGCATTCCTGATAGTGGCTTCTGCTGCTCTGTGTGATGGGGAACTTGCTCCTTGGCAGAGCATATCATTTAGTAAATGCGCAGCTTTTGCGGTTCATAATTATCTATTGTAAGGCCAAATGTGCTTTCTGGAACTTTCTGGAACTTTAGCCATAATTTCTAGCTCAGCCCGACTTAGTAGGTGATATAATGGTCACATTCAAAGTTGTCACGATGTAGAGACACTGGCATCCTGAAGAGAAAAAATAAAAACTAAAATATTCAGTGTGTTTATATAGGAACCATACAGATCACAATAATTTGTGTGAACTGTTTTCTATTTGTACCCAAAGACATGCGCAGAAAAAAAAAAAAGTTTTTAACAGTGAAAACGTCTGATTAACTTTGTAGCAAGTTTTTCTCTGATTTTAACTGTCACAAAATCCTTACTCAAAGCTCATAGATAGCTGCTCCTAGAAATGTTGGCAACCGTTCAAAAAATTAAATGGAGTGTTGCTGATATCTGATCATGATCACCTTTCTGTGCCACTCAAGCTGCTGAATAAGCACTTGTTGAGGGAGAAACACATTTCCCAGTGTTCAAACCACTTCTCAGGAGGAAGCAGCTCAAGGACCACTTCCTAGTCTGCACACTCCGGCTTGGGGGACCACACAATCCAGTTAGAAATAGGCCGGGCGCGGTGGCTCACGCCTGTAATCCCAGCACTTTGGGAGGCCAAGGCGGGCGGATCACAAGGTCAGGAGACCGAGACCACGGTGAAACCCCGTCTCTACTAAAAAAAATACAAAAAATTAGCCGGGCGCGGTTGTGGGCGCCTGTAGTCCCAGCTACTCGGGAGGCTGAGGCAGGAGAATGGCGTGAACCCGGGAGGCGGAGCTTGCAGTGAGCCGAGATCGCGCCACTCCAGCCTGGGCTGGGCGACAGGGCGAGACTCCGTCTCAAAAAAAAAAAAAAAAAAAAGAAATAGTGTTTGCACAAATAACTGTTCCTGTAGCCAAACGTTTTAAAAATACTTTAAACAAATCTTTTCAAGATTTCTAATTCTAGCCTGTATCAGAAATGTATTAAAATTCTGCAGACCTTTTTGCATTTTGTATCAGCTCAAGTTTCCCTTGAAAATGTTTCGGAATTTCTGATAATCTTTTGCTCTCCTTTTGAGAGTGAATTTTCTGGCATCAGAAGTTTCTAAGGCAATTGCATGGCACTTCAATACTGACCACTTAGGAATTAGGTAAGAGGCAGTTAATGGAAGCATAAGGGGAGCATGGAGATCCAAGGACCCCTGATTCTCTCCTAGTCTCACCTTCACCTCCATTGAAGGCCAAGTGCTTTGCACATTCTTCTCACAGCCTCCATAATAAACAGTGACATTTCTGTGCTTATGGAAGCCCGTAATACCCTTCGGTGGGGTTTCATTTTTAGATCAACACACACAAACTTTAAATCATCCTCATCGAATTCTATAATTCAAAAAGCCTTCCTTCCTTCCTTCCTTCTTTCCTTCCTCCCTTCCTTTTTTTTTTTTTTTTTTTTGACAGGGACTGGCTCTGTCATCCAGGCTGGAGAGCAGTGTCGCAATCACAGCTCACTGAAGCCTCAGCCTGCCAGGCTCAGGTGATCCTACCACCTCAGCCTCCCGAGTAGCTGGGATTACAGATACACGCCACAACATTAGGCTCTTTTGTTAATTTTGTAGAGACAGAGTCTCTCTATGTTGCCAGGGCTGATCTTGAACTCCTGGGCTTAAGCGATTCTCCCTCCTTGGCCTCCCAAAGTGCTGGGATTACAGGTGTGAGTGACTGCGCCCAGCCCAAAGAGTCTTTGTTAGAATCTTAATTTTTATTTTTCCTCCTGAGGACTGGGTCAGTATTCTCTTTAGTTACCTCAGCCTTTTCCTCATCCTCCTTCCCTTTTTCACTTCTGGGAAGGGGCGAGTTTATCCTGATGGGCTTTTGTGCCCCTACCCCGACCTTGTGTATGCATCTATTCTGTAGCCCAGTTCCTTTCCCTGAAACAAACGAAGGTGAAGATTTATCAGAGCACAACGCAGGCCCGGCCCTTTGCAGACATTACCTCGTCTACTCTTTTCCATGACTCCCTGAGATAGGTTACATCATCACCCCGATTTCACATACTGGGAAAAGAAGAGTTAAGTGGCTAGCCCAAGGATACCCAACTAGGAAGCAGAAGAAACCAAATTTAAATCTAGATAGTCTGATTTTAGAGCATATACTCTTAAGCCCCACACAATGCTGCAGGAGCCACTACACCGTGTGCATATGATTGTACTGGGTACCTTCACACAAGCCACATTATCAGCAGGCTTTGCTGCGCTTTCCTGGAAACTCACCCAAATGGTCACCTCCAACACACATCCTGTGAGCACCTCTCAAGGTGCTACTCTAGGTGATAAAAGTGGCAGAGGAAGCTCTCTGTGGGTGGCACATGGTGCTGGCATAGTCTTACATGGGGTCTCACAGGCCTAATGGAATTTCCATTTGGGGCAATGTGGTGGATTGCATTACATGAAACCCTCCTGCTATGAAACACCTGGAAAAGCAGTATAAACTAGAACTGGCGTCCCTTTAAATGTCCCAACTGAGCTCAAAAGAAAGAAAAGAAAATCCCAGGGGCCAAAAATGAAATGGAAACTAAAACCAGAGAATAACCTGCACACTGAAGCTGGGGCCACCTGGGGGTATTTGATGATCTCACAAACCAAGGAGTTTGGGATTTGATGGTTAGTCTGGGACAGAAGGAAAAATTGATATCCCACGTAAAGTTGCTACCCTTAGTGAAAGAGGAAAAGCGGGGAAAGGCCTCCTTCCCCTAAAAGACCAAAGGAAATGATAGAGAAACTTGCATTCCTTGGAGTGAGCTCTGAGTGGGGAAAATTTTTGAAACTCCAGGCCTGCCTTCACAAGCTTTGGGGTTCAAAGTTGTACTCCCTCTGTGGTACAGGAGACCTCTGGGTGTTAAATCAGTGTAGAAACAGTTTTTAGATGTTCCTAAAATTCCTGTCAAAAGCAGCACCAGAGAGATGCCCTCAAACTTGGAGACCCGGGATTCCCATGGTTTAAATGCCATGTAAGATGAATTCACAATCCAAGATTTTTTAAAACCCCAAACACATGAGCCAATGCCAGCAGACCTATCAATAGAAGATATAAACCCTCCCCAAACTCAGCTTTGGCTAGGGACTATAAAATAAGAACGTTTAAGGTGATTAAGGTAAGAAAGAAATAATGAGAGACAAAGAAGCCATAGAAAAGACTAAGCATATTGTACTAAATAGAACTTTGAGAATAAACAATATAGTAATTAAGATTAAAAATCCAAGGGCAGCTGAAGAGAGAATCAGTAAAGCCATTAATCCAGTTCTGTCTGGTGCCTGAGACATATAGAAATGAGGAAAATTCCGGAAGGCAGCACGGAGAAACAATAAGAAGCTCCCAGGAAAGCAATCTTGGGTCTTCTACCAGAAAAAAAAAATTGACAAGAAGAGTTCTTTGTGCGCTGGAGCTGCGATGTCAGTAAACATTTTCTAGAAAGGGCCAGATAATAATAATTTTCAGCTTGGTATCCATACATCTCTGTCTCTGCCACATAGTCTTCTTTGCATTTTTTATAACCCTTTAAAAATGTAAATATTTTCCTTCGCTCACAGGCTGTACACAAACAGGCTTTGGGTGTGATTTGGCCTGAGGGCATGGGCATTTTCTACTGCGTGAGGATAATCTGTCTGAGAAGGAAACCATTCAAAGGAGGTCCTGCCAGGAGGAGGAAGAAGAGAACACAGATTCCCAATGACGTGATTTGAGTGCCTGGACCCACTAGATACAAAAACCTAACCCAGGAATTTTTAAGTTTGTGAACCAATAAATGTTCTTTTTTCAAAAGTCAGTGTGCCCTAGTTTTATGTTACGTATAAACAAAAGAACAACTGGCAAATGTAGCAATGTGCTTGAATCTCTAAATCCTTTCTGTGTGATAGTCTGCCTGTTTTAATATCATCTGAATTGCAATTGCTATTGTTCAGGAATTACTAAAACAGTTAAACCCAGATTAATGCAATATTTTTTACAATCAGTTGTTCTCTGAAGTGGAAAAATAGAAGAAAGAAAAACAATATTTTTGTGTGTGTCAGGCATTGCACTGACTGTCTTAGATGTTGTCCCACTGAACAGACACAACTCCTTTGTGAAATATGCATTAACTCCCTTTTATAGGTAAGAAAACTTGATTGTGAGAAGTAAAGTAACTGGTCTAAGGCCACACTTAGAGTTGAGTCATTGTGGCAGAGATCTTATGGCTTAGAAAGCCAATTATCTGCTATCTCACCCTTTACAGAAAACGTTTGCTGCCCCTGCTCTGGACAGAAGGAGATATTACTATTATCTTAGCTGCTGGCTGAGATCGTTCTCAAGAGGGAAACTGTGCTTGGGAAAATACTTTGCTAAGTGTTTGGGTTGGAGATCCGTGAAAATTCCAGTATCTGGAGCAGCTCTAGCAGGAAGGAAAAGATGTACCATTTTACAGGAGAAAATAAGAGGAATATTGGGTATTGGCTCCTCTCAAAAAAAAAGGGGAGGGGTAGGAGGAGGAGGACAGAGGGAGGGGGCAAGCAAGGAGGCTGGCAGAAAAAGAATTGGAGAGAAAGAGGCTGGAAAGTTTTCAGGAAGTAGGAATGTAATATTAGGGCAACAGGATTGCAGAAAAATCTAGTACCAGGTTTTAAGCTATTTGATTTTTGGTATATCATGCTTCCTGGGATCCCCTGGTCTTTGGTAAAATGGCTTGTTTGTGTAGCTGGTTTTGGGATGAAGGGAGAGTCAAAGAGAAGTTATGTGGGGGCCCAATGTCAGAGCTGAATGGAAAGAAGTAGCTCTAAGACACAGAGAATAGATTTTGACAAAGTTAGGACATGAGAATAGAATTAACCATAAGACCATAAACCATAAGAACTTCCCCCAGAATTTGGAGAGCCCTTGCAAAGTGCTTTAGGTTTCCCTAATCAATGTAATTTCAATCCAAATCAATCTTCCGTAGGGTTTAAGGACCAGGAGACCTTAGGTAATAGCAGAGTCAGCCACTTGCTCGACAGGGATTGAATAAGGCATTCTCCCTGTGTCTGGGAGCTCATACCCTGTGGGAAAACAGACCTCAGAACAAATGTGTAATAATTGCTCCGACAGAAAGATGAACAATTAAAGCACAAAGGACAAAATGGT